TTAATTCAACGTAACTGCCATAAATTGATCTGGTAATTCTGCAAGCATAAAATGAATCAACAATTCTAAAAACAGATTGTCTTTTTTGAATAATGATTGGTGCGCAAAACTGATGGCATGTCACAACTTTCCCTAATGTGCATCTGGAAGAATATATTTCCTTTGTTCCAATTAGTAATTCAGTTAATGTTCCATGGCCTCTTCAACGTTGGTGCATGAACACTCAGTGGGGCTTATTAGGCAGCCTGCACGCAAGCAGCAGTACAACAATTGACTGCAGTGTTGGAGCAGACAAAAATGGTTGTGTGGTTGCGCTTAAGTGTGAAGGCGCCTTGCAGCATTAGTTGCAACGAGGCGCATATGTCAGGCGGCGTTCTCTGCCCCAGCCCCAATCCCTTGGGCCACTATGCACAGGACGACTGGGGATAGGGCTGGTGTTTTAGGAAATGTTCCCTTATGTCTTCTACGACGGCCCTCAGTCAAGGTTGGGGACTCTCGTTACATTTGATAGTACCGCATGGCTGCTCAGGGCAAGGGGGAGCAGAGAAACGCACTCCTACAGCATGACCAGCCAGCGAACAGGCAGCAATGAGAAGACTCTTGAGATCTACGTAAGTGGAAGACTGAGAGAATGCTCGTCAGCAACCCCTTACGGCCTTTACAACATATAGGGGAAGAGGACTGAAAGCAATGTCACAAGGAGAAAGGCGCGACAACGTTTCTATTCATTGCAGGCACGATGCAGGCCAGGAGAAATGCATGCGCTCCGCAGCAGTCAAGTGAATACAGCAGGAGTTTCGATCCAGCCACAAACCAAGGGACAGTCAAAGTGCGTACAATTGGAGGAACACCTTCCAGGCTTTGAAAAGGCGGGCTAGGAGCTCGTCGGCCACCCGCTGGACGCCAAGCGCACCGTCTAGACCTCATTTCCGTAGCAGCGCCAAGCTTTCTTCTATGTCATAGGCGGCCCTCACATCTTGAAGCTGCCTGCAGAAGAGCTGCTAAGAAAAAGCAAAGGTCAGCCGCCCGCTATCACACTTGGAAACAATCTGATGCTGGCGAAGAATAAGAACGGGAGGTGGCGCGTGTGCGCTGACTTGTACCTCCAAAAAGTCATGGTGGAGCCAACGTTTTCGGGCGCTCCGGACCGGCGAACGAATTGACCGCTTGCAGGGCCCAGCAACATCGTTCTAGATACCAATACATTCGTATGCTAGGCATACGACGAGGTTTAATATCAGCATTGACATCATATTCCCGTCGGCTGCGGCCTCTCGTTTGTCTCTGGCTTCTGCCTGTCGCTACTTGCGTATCCTAGTCCCCAGGCTACTCGACGTATCCCTCTTATCAATGAAGTTTCTGCCCCTTTGCAGGAGAAATCGTTGCTGAACTGTTATGTATGACGAGTATCAATGGTTTGGTAACATCCGTGCAGACCTTCTTGAAACTACTGTTCCGAGAAATCCCCCACCCCCCTGCAAGCATAGCGAAGCTACCTTTTGTTAGCTGCACTGACGGTGTAGACAGATGCTGAACAACTTCTTATCCCAGTGTCGAACCTGCGTGCAAGTAGATATACATGCGCCAACGTCAGTCGGACCACGCTTACACCTACCAACTCGTAACAGGCCCTGCTGTAGCATTGCTAGGATTGCTACTAACGGGTTGAAGTGACCTGATAACAAACTACTGAGAAAAATGGTGAAAATTGCTTCATATTCCTTCTTCTAATGCTCTATATCCACCGTGTAGGATCGCATTCCCATCGCCGTGCTCAGCCGCCATTGAAACGAGATCCCCCCGCCTCATATGAGGGCCTTCTTGAGCTACAATCGGCCTACAAGAGATGAACTAAAAGCTTCTAAAGAGAGGCTGGCCTCCTCTCCCACCGCATGTTAACAAGAGCCCGAGCGTCTAAGGGAGATGAGGCGGCCTGGCCCAGGCTGCAACAAATCGTGTTGCAACTAATGCTCTAAGGCACCGTCACATACAACCAAATCACCCTTTGCTATCTGAACTATGATTAAAAAAGTTGTACTTTAATTTGCGTGCACGCTGCCTAGAAATATCAAGTGAGTGTCCATACACCAACAGTACAGACCACGCTACACCAGACACACAACACCCTCGAAAGAGAAGCCATCGGTAAGCAGACCAGAGAGAGTTAAGCGGAAAACTGCAGATTAGTGAATAAGGCAACGCAGGACAGCAAATAGTAAATTCCGCATTTCAGTGTAGGTGGTGGACTGGGATAGTTGATGGTGAGTTGCACCCCACAAAGCATTGCCACATCTACCGCGTAAGACGGCCTTTCCTAGGTATGCACCGATAATTAACGGGACTATTATTGAGCAATGCCCACGAAAACATTGAAAGCGCATCAATATCAGCAAGTTCCTTCAAGAAAGCGGAAAGGCAGTGGTGCACGCTGCCGGTGCGCACGCATGATAGTGAGCGGGGCTCACGGGCAGAAAGAACGGCTGTAGCGTGCGTGCAGAAAAATAGAACTATCGTATTTCTGTTGGTTTATTGAGTTGTTGAACAAAAATAGCACTGTTCGTAACGAAAATGGCCCTTTTACTTGCTGTTCTTCTCGGTGTTTTCGCGGCACTTTCTGCCGTTGTCGTTCCTACGACCGGTCGGTACCATACCCGGTATGCCATTATGGAAGTACCTGGAGGCAGCGACTTCGAAGCAAATCAACTATCTACTGAGAATAATTACCGCGGGAACTTCCCGAAGAAACACAGAAGGCATCTTCCTGTCCTGTTGCACGTTGCCGTAGCTGCCGCCTCGCTGGCAGTCGTGCTGGCTGTCATACAGTGTTTCAGACAGCTCAGCTCTCAGCCCAGGGAGCTCCATTACGGATTTTCAGAGCGACGACTGGCGACGGGAGGTGAAGATCCGTGCAAGGTACGTTACTCGTTCCTCCAGGCAATACGTGCTGCCCGTCTCCTTGCAATGGCTCAAACATGACCCGTCATGGCTTACCGCTACAGAGTTGAAACGGTTGTCGCTGTTTCAATGTGTGCGCAGAAAGTACGGCTTCCATCTACGAGATGCCTTTGGTACATGTAGTGACGGCTTCTCGCGATTCCCAATGCATGAAAATATTTATTTGGTGGAGGTGGAGGTGCATCTGCCACAGTAGGAATAGTGCTGGCAAGCACGGACGGAGGTTTTGAGCCTGGATACTGAGACCGGTTGAGACAATGGCTTTCCTGATGGCCAGGCCAAAGTGCGCATTACTCACGGCTCACAATTTCTAGCGGGAAATGAGGATGAAGTGCTCGTGCATCCCCAGTATGACGCACTACGTCGTGGTCATGCACACAAGCCTTGCAGTTCCTGGTGGCTACCCCGAGGATGTGCCTTTCTTGAGAGCTGCTCCTATCCTAGCGCTTACACAGGTTGAAATTCTCTTCCAGGCAGGCGTGGAATGCTGCTTGCTGGTTGAAGAGCCAGTTTACACCGAAAATTAGGGATAGCTCTCGTCTGAGGTGCATATTTTTGAGCTCAGGAGCTGCTATATTCTGCTGAACATGACGCATATGGACTTGCGTCGCATTTCTGCCCAATTCGTTTTAGGGAGAGGAGGTGCGTCGCAGGGCGCCGTCTGAATCGGTTGCCCTTGTGGCAGGGTGTTATTAACATTCGCACCTGATTGTCTGCATGTGCGCACAGCCCACTGATCGGGGCAAGCCACTGTTTTCCTGTTGTTTGCTTTTCACCACACGGCGCCACTTAACCCTTTGGCTCCGCACTTCCTAGTATTGCCTTTCTTGTTGGTACACGGGTGACATTGACGGTGTGTAATGGAGAGAGCAGATTTAGGCGTGTTTCATACGCAGGACCCGATACTTCTGTTTCCTGGTTCTTTGGATGTAATCAAGTTGCGTCAGTGCCGGGTAGATTCGGCGTACCAAGTGTGTATTCTCCTCACCTTTAGCTTTTCAGCAGTGTTTGGGTTTTGGGCTGATGAATGAGCTTGGGAACTGCCTGCACGTCTCGCTGTGAGAAGCAGACGGAACAAGCGTTGAAGCCTACTACGATGAGCGGATGCGTGCGTACGAGCTTCCTGTCAACAGGGAGGCTGGGACAGTAGAGCCTTCTTCATGGGCACAACGTTGCGTAATGGGGAGGTTGTATGCACATGTGCCACTCGTCAGGAGGCAGTACGGTTCTTCGGATCCTGAGCTC